TGCTGTTTTTTTTTCTGTGTATAATATTACTGTCTGCATGCACTGTTTGTCACGAACCACCATCGCAAGGGTCACCTTTTGAGCAAGAGGCTCTCGTGGCCGAGGACATGGACGATTCAACACTGGTGAGCATACCTCTTTCACTAAGTTGTCAGTCACATGTAACCTCTGGCAGGCTATCCTTCTTTCCACAGAATTGGGAAAAAATCTCTACGGACACTTGAATCCTCCAGACGATAAGGGGCTATCATATGTCTTAGAATTTGTGATATGTCATAGATATGTCATAGAATTCGTCCATACTCCAGTACAGACCGAACATCCACCCCCCCTTCGGGCATCGGAAGACCACAAAAACCTCATAGATGAGGAGATTCGCACATTATTCAACAAAGGCGCAGTACAATTCAAAAATTCAAAAAGAAGACGGTAGACTATCAAACCATCATCAACTTACGCCAACTCAATGGTTTTGTGGCGTATCTGCATTTCAAGATGGAAGGTATCTCCATCTCTTGCGAGACCTCCTCCGCCATGCAAACGACTGTTTCACGCATTTAGACTTGAAGGACGCAAACCTGTCTGTCCGAATAGCACCAGGAAGTCGACCATTCCTTCGATTCATCTGGCGAAACCGAGTTCACCTGTCTACCATTCGGACTCAGCTCAGTCCCTTGGTGCTGCATGATCTATCTGGAAGACATACTGATATGCTGCGAGTCCGCGTCCAGACTGCGATCTCAAACAAGATTTATAGTTCTGTTTCTAGAATCGTTGGGTTTTATAGTAAACAGAGAGAAATCGTCACTGTCTCTATCCCGAGTAATCGAATTCCTCGGATTAGAAATAGACACAATGCGTGTCTTACGCCTTCCTGCTTCGAAAATAGCAGCAATTCGAAAAGAGATATGAGGTATACTGCGGAAAGACACCATTCCTCTTTGACTCCTCGCCAGAGTAGTGGGCCTGCTTTCTTCTTCTATACAAGCAATCTTCCCATAATCGCTACATTATCAGGCGATGCAACGCCTGAAGGCCCATTACCTACGGTCCGGACACTCATACGACCACTGGATACTGGTCTCAACAGAAGTACGAACTGAGCTTTGTTGGTGGCTCCTACATATGGAAGCCTGGAACAGCAGTGCCATTTTCGGATCTACTCCAGACTTCATAGTGGAAGTCGGACGCCAGCCTCTGGGGCTGGGGAGTTCACTGCACACATGCCTCCACAGGAGGTCCATGATCAGGGGTAGAGATGAATCTCCATATAAACTGTCTAAAACTCATCGTGGGGTAATTTGCAATCCGCAGCCTAGCCAAGAACATGTCCAATTGCTGTATCCTACACATGGACAACATAAACTGCCTGGGTGGAACTCATTCTCGTGCTCTAATGGAGGCAATGAGGGACATTTACCATTTTTGTCTTCCCCGCAACATGACTCTCAGGTCAGAGTACCTACCAGGGATCACCAACGTCACAGCGGATTGGTTCTCATGCCAATGGTGAGATAGCAGTGACTGGCGTCTGAACACATCATTGTTTGCCATGTTGATTTTTTTGGATCACGGATGAACACACAACTACCGAGATACTACAGCTGGCTCCCGGATCCACAATGCGAAGCAGTAGATGCTTTTCTGCAACTATGGCCAACGCAAGGAGCATTTGCATTCCCACCTTTCTCTATGTTGGCGAGAGTCGTTCATCATCTTCATATCACCGGGACCCGCATGATACTCATCACACCATTATGGCAGAGTCAAGCGTGGTTCCCGGATCTATTGGCCTTATCTCAGCATCAACTGCTTCTCTTTCCATCGTTTCCCCTCCTTATAACAAATCCGTGAAGAGAACCTCATCCACTGATCCTACAGGAAAGTCTGGAATTGGTGGCTTGGAGGGCCTAACCCAATCGACTAGGGACTACTATGGGACTCTTGGGCACCAGGAACTAGACGTAGTTACATCTCGGCATGGAATTCCTGGAATTGCTGGTGTATGGAGAGGGACTACTCTCCTTACATCACCTATCACTGTAGTGTTAAAACTTTCTATCACACCTCTTCTCATCAGGTCGCTCATATCGATCCATCAACGTTATACGTTCGGCGATCTTGGTAGCTCACGTCCCACTTCTGGGCATTCCAGTTGGACAGGACACTTTGATATGTCACTTACTGCGAGGTATCAAACTGTCCAGAACCCAGCTCTGAAGTATAGTAGGTTATGAGTGTAGCGGTTACCCCTACAATAAGAGACAGAACTCTAGATTGAGGGTGAAGTAAGTCTGTTTTAATGGTAGCCAGACTGGCCTTTTATGCAAGTCCCCAGCCAAGGGATACACCCATGTGGACCTTGGTGGGGACAGTGATACAAAGTTATCAACCAATCATAACAGGGTTATACAGTGTGACAATCCCATACAGGACAGGCAATCCCTTCACTCTGCCTGGGAGATAATTGAGTCAACTACTGTCTTTAACTCAATTATCTCCAGGTGAAAAAGAACATAATTTTAATAAAAGCTGAAAGTACCCCCAAAACAAATAATCCCCACAAATAGCATATCCCCTGATAGCCCCGATCTGGGGGAACAACATATTTAAAAATCACCCATATCGGTTCAGGGGTTCAGGATTTGTATGGAGGTCTTCTTTCTGACCGACCGCACACAAGGTGCCTGCCCAAAATAGTTCCATAGAATCCGACTGTGGAGCAGGTCTCCTTCCGGGGTATTAAGCAAACGTTTATAATAGAAATAACTGTTTGTGCGTCCATTCTCATAGTCCTAGTGGTTTTGAGAGATGTTACGTCCATTTCGTACATATAGTGCCGAACATCCGTGACCATGGAAGACTTAACAGTGTTCGTGCCATCGAGTGTCCGATTCTAGTTCCATGCAATCGTCGACATGTTCGTGCATACAAACACCGACCACCCAGTCAACCGCTTAGAACGTTGGGGTGTTTGTGGTTTTAGAGGTGTTAAGAGGATCAATGAGGTTAATAAGCGCCACACTCCGCATTTGGGTGGTCGGTCGTTCGATAGTTCTTTCGTCAGTCGAATGGACAATGGTAAAAATAAGGCAGAACTGTACTTAGTCAAATGGATAGGAGAAAAGTCACATAAACTTTAAAATTCAGGGACAGAGGCGTCTGTCACAATGAGACGTAGATTTAGTTCTTTGTTTCCTTTGAGATTGGCCAGATAATTCAGATCTTTCACTCCAACAACTCTCTGCCAAACTCACGTTACTTTTATGTCTCATTTCTTTTTGTCTAGTTTCAGACATTCAAGCGTTCGATGTGGATGGTTTTCCGGTCTCTCTGGAAGGAGTTTCCTTTACGGTGTCGTGACGAACTAAGACGGACTCCACATCCGAGTCATATCCATTTTTCTCGGCAGTTTACCGTCTCTGCGTGGTGAACACATTACTATGTTATGTGGAGGTTACTACACCCCTTCGGTCTTCACAATCTAGACAACTTCTAGTTTCCTACACTAACTCATACAAACCATATACAACCACCATGTTAGCTAGATGGGTACTTTGGCTTTTATCCCTAGCAAGGATGAAGTTGTGTTTTGGAGCCCATTCGGTACGGGGGGCGTCTGCATCTCGGGCATTCTTGGCCAATATTCTATGTACAGAGGATTGGACGCAAGAAGATACTTTCAGGGACTTTATCTTCATATCGTCAGACTTCACACACGTCTTTTTTGCTTTTTTGCCACAGCATTAAAAATGCAAAATACTCGCCTCCTGTCATGTTGTAAAATTGTAGATTATGCTGACGTAGTGTAACTATAATCTTAATTTTAATAATGACAGGAGGCGAGTATTTTCCCACCCTGGGTTTCCCTCCCTTTATGGTTATTACTCCAGTCGACATTTTCTCTCGTTGTTATCCAGCTATAGTTTTTTGTGTAATACAGATTGCTGTAATGTATACTTTGTCTTGTTTATAGGAAATAAATATTATATCATGTCCTATATATTGTTTTGTAGATTATAAATATATTAATATAGATTATTGATGTTAAATTGACATCAGTTTATTACCATCACCTTTCACTAGTTTCTGTTCTTTTCAGTGTGAGCTTCATCCAAGATTTCAGACAAGGACGTGTAGAAATATTTCGCTATAGAGTTCTACAGACGGCTGTCAAGTTTTCTACAAGTTTTGTAATGTTTCCTGATGTTACCTTGTTGCAGGAATAACAGGAGAAAGCTGCAAAAGCCACACATAGAGAGATGGAAGCAGGTTCGTTCAGGAAGAAAAAGGTCTTTATTGTTACCGATCGGGTCTCAGATGAACTCCTGTTCCAAAAATGTCTGAGCACTGAGCATAGTTTGCACATGCTTTTTATTAACAATAACTCCTCCCATTCATAGCTCCACTCACACATACCCTTAGAGCAATCAGTGAACAGGATATTCAGGATCACCTAATATGGGCAGACCGTATGACTCCTTTAAGGACAAAGGAATGTGACTACAGTTGATGCACATGCTCAGTACATTGATGACAGTATCTTAGCTACATGTAACTAACAGATACAACAAACACCTGTACTTGTATATGCCACATGGAGATTTCAGGCCTACTAAATTTGGAACCATGTTGAAATCCCATCACAACCTTAGACTGTCAGTTCACATCAAAAAAAGAGGAGGAGCTATCAGGGCTTTATGTGGAATGTGTTACTTGTTTCGATTGGTTTAAGTTTAATGATTGACTTGTGCTGCTGGAGGCATAAAGTAAAGGAAGGTAATGCAAAATACTCGCCTCCTGTCATTATTAAAATTAAGATTATAGGTACACTACGTTAGCATAATCTACAATTGAAGCTGATACTCAGTTACATTTATTTATATAGTACCGATACATTCCGCAGTGCTGTACAATAGGCACAACGAGACAATCCATTAAGTCTAACAAGCCACGTTCCATACGAAAACACTAGGTGAAGAGTGTGCTTCCCAACACAGGGATAAACAGGGAAACATTACTATCAAACACCTTGTGCCGGTATACCTGATTCCTGCAACATGTTGGTGGATGCCGGCCGCTGCGGATCCATGCCATATTATAGCTCCATGTCCGCCCACGGCAATGATGACCTCAGCGTGCGTGTGACGTCACGCAAAAGACACACCTGCGCGTTCTGGGGTCAAAGGCAGGTTACGGCAAATCGAATCTGTAGGAGGCTTATTTTAAACACATTTTTACTTCTGCTCATTGCCCTGTCGTGGTTTCCCTTAGTAGGTTATCCGAGAGTGTGTTCCTGAGTGTTTGTTTCTGGTTACTGACTTTGTTTTGACTTCCCTGTATTCTGGTATCCCTGACTTTTGGCTTTCCCTCATCGTTAGAGGAATGGGGGATATCAGTGGGGAATTTTAGGGGAATGGGGGATATCAGTGGGGAATTTTAGGGGAATGGGGGATATCAGTGGGGAATTTTAGAGGAATGGGGGATATCAGTGGGGAATTTTAGGGGAATGGGGGATATCAGTGGGGAATTTTAGAGGAATGAGGGATATCAGTGGGGAATTTTAGAGGAATGGGGGATATCAGCTGGGGAATGGGGGATAGTGGGGAGATATAGAGGTAGGGGATATCAGCAGGGGAATTTTAGAGAATGGGGGGATATCAGTGGGGAATTTAGAGGAATGGGGATCAGTGGGGAATTTAGAGATGATATCAGTGGGGGAATTTTTTTTAGAGAATGGGGGATATCAGTGGGGAATGTTAAAGGAATGGGGGATATCAGTGGGGAATTTTAGAGGAATGGGGGATATCAGTGGGGAATGTTAGAGGAATGGGGGATACCAGTGGGGAATTTTAGAGGAATGGGGGATATCGGTGGGGAATTTTAGAGGAATGGGGGATATCAGCGGGGAATTTAGAGGAATGGGGATATCAGTGGGGCATTTTAGAGGAATGGGGGATATCAGCTGGGAATTTAGAGGAATGGGGGATATCAGCTGGGAATTTAGAGGAATGGGGGATATCAGTGGGGAATTTTAGAGGAATGGGGGATATCAGTCAGGGAATATAGAGGAATGTGGGATATCAGTGGGGAATTTTAGAGGAATGGGGGATATCAGTGGGGAATGTTAAAGGAATGGGGGATATCAGTGGGGAATTTTAGAGGAATGGGGGATATCAGTGGGGAATTTTAGAGGAATGGGGGATATCAGTGGGGAAATTTTAGAGGAATGGGGGATATCAGTGGGGAATTTTAGAGGAATGGGGGATATCAGCGGGGAATTTAGA